ATAACAGATATAATAACAGATATAATAACAGGTATAATAACAGATATAATAACAGATATAATAATTGTGAGAAAAAGTTTTATATTACAATTTAGGAAAAAAGATATAACAAAAAGTTTTCATTTAGAATTGTCACAATCCCATTTTTATAAATACGAGAATAAATATCTAAGATTACTACAATAAAAAGGCCTCAGACCGAATTTAATAATTTTTAACCACGTCGCTGATCCGCAAATCACCGGTTCAAATTGCGCACTGGATCAAATCTTGAAGAACTGATTTAAATTTTAAGTTGAACCCCGTCTTATGTTTGAACTGTGTCTCATGTTTGAATCACGTTTCATGTCTGAACCACGTCTCATGTTTGAACCGCGTCTCAAGTTTGAACCGCATCTCATGTTTGAACTGCGTCAAAATGCGGTTCAAATTCTTTAAATTTGACCTCTGGAAGCCTTGTTTACAACATATATATACATTATAATAAATATACTTGGATTGGATAACGCCCCAGGCAAGAATTGACCAAATCTAGGATTACCCAAAATGGAAAAGATTTTGATTACTTAGATGAATATATCTTTATAACTTATTAAAATTGTGTACATATTGATAGTGAATAAGAAAAAATGGATAAAAGATAACAGACTAAATATTTCTACATTGGCTTCAAAAACCCATCTTTTTTGTGTGTAAAATAAAATAATCATCATCTTTTTAATTTTTTTTTACATCAAAACTAATTCATAGATGGATTAACAAATACAATGTTAACAATTATGCAAGATAGGATTATGATAAAATGGCGTACATAATTAATTTTAACAACCAATCAGAAGAAGGGAAATTTCAATCACAATCAATGGAAGAATTTTAATCGGCAAGAACCTGCAGCAGGGATATCCAAAGAGAAGATTAAAAAGAAAATTAGNATCAAAATTTCAAATATTTGTCTCTATCAAAATTCGATCGTCATTAAATTTTTTAAAATTTTGAAAATCCGCGAAATTTTTTGTAAAAATCCGCGAATTATTTTTGTTTAGTTTTACGATGTACACAAAGAGAACATGTTTACAATTAATTTAGAAGATGGGCGCGAAGCGCCCTCTAAGGCTAGAAAGAAGGGCGCGAAGCGCCTTGAATTTCTAGTTATCAATAATTAATTAGAATAATCATTATTAAAAGGTATGAAAATATATATTTTTGATACTATTACTAAATCATTATTATTAAAAGTATATTAAAGATACTTTTATTGTAATATTTAAATTATAAGAAATTGAAATACCTGCAATCCCTATTCCCCCAGCTCCCAGAACTGGGCCTGAATCATATAGATTTTGTTAAAATTCATCTATAAATAAGTAGATATCTATCTATTAAAAGTATATAGATAGCTTTTACTAGTAAAACTAGTTGCAGTGACTAAGTTCATCCACTCTTCTTATGCTCTATTTCAAGCTTAAAGGAACTGAGTCTATAACTAAAGAATGTGCGAATTTTAAGTTCGAGGTTAAAAGTTCTGTAAAATAATGAATAACTACTTAAATATTAAACTTTCTCAATTTTAAATTTGAATTTCCCAGGAAAAATCTGAACCAATAAGAGAAAAGGATTTACGGAGAATTATTACGTAAGTATCGGTATTTGGCTATCAGCTGTTTTTTAAATTTTAATTTATTTACGTGACGGAAAACAAAACATAATTCCAGTTACAACCTTATTTTGGGTTTACGTGCAAACATTAATTAATCTAAAACGTGAAATTTAATAAAATCAAGGTTAAAGTTCAGGTTTAAATTAAGTCAGAAGTGGCATTTAACCACGAACTTAAAATTTAAGTCAAAACTTTTCGTTCTTTAGTTTTAGACTCTGGTTTCCATTATGTTTTTACAAGGACCAGATTTTAATAACTGGAGATTAGTTGCCGAACTATCCACCCACCACCACACTATGGCTCAAAGTGTTTAAAAAAAAGGAAAAAATGAATTTAAAAAAAAAATTCACTGCATTTAATTACCTAAACTTAAATTACATAATTACTTAAACTTGAACGTGATGTCTTGGGGAAATAAATCTGATTTTTATTTTGCATGTAAAGGGGAAGTGGTTCATGATTTTTTTTTTTTTAATGAAATTGCTAGCTGAAATGTTCACAACTTCTTCTTAAGGTTGAAAAAATAAGGAAAAAGTTGTAATGTTGTTTTTCCTTCTTGTCTTCATTACACATCAGCTAAACAAAAGTTTGACGAGACAAAAATATCAAAAGAACATTAACTTTTAATTTTGGAAAACATTTTTAAACTTATGTTGAAATTTTTTTTCAAATATTTTTTAACTTAGAAACTAAGAAAGTAATGACTGTGGCAAACTGAGGGGCAAATTACAACTCTTTGAATGTAGAAACTTTATGAAAAATTACAGTTGCCAAAAGTCATCTCGAAACTGCATATTAACCATCCTGGGGGGGCGGGGTATGCACTATGNTTCTGCATTAAATACATGTATCAAATAATTTGTTTCATAAAAAAAATTTGAAATAGATAAATTGATAAAGTTGAAAACAGTTGCCAAAAGTTGCCGCTTTTTTAGCTTAACTATTTAAATATTGCAAAAAATGAACATTTAATGCATATTTCTCAAATTACAAATTAGATTTAGGTATTTAGATTATCTCTCAAATGTCATATGAATAACTAACATTTTGGTAAATAAAATTTAACTTGGTCTTGTTATTTGTCATTCTGCATGCTAATCAGAATGCATTCTGGTGAATTATAACACGAAAGTTATAGGTTTATCAGTCTAAAAAACACTGGTTTGGGGTTTGCACTGTAAATTTGCATATTTGAATCAAACACATAGTTCAATAAGAATTCATTAAGCATTTCAGTTCTTTTCGGTCAGCATGCATCTAAAATGCCAGCCAGAATTAAAGAAGCTAAATCTTATTATTTTATTAATCCAAATGGGCATTGTGCAATATGCATCTTTCAGAATATTTTTGAACAATTTGATTGGCCAGCATGCATCATGCATACCCAATTGTATAAACCTCAACGTTGACCTTAAAATCGTTGCAGTGAACCAGAAAATATAAGTCTATAGTTCGGTGGATATTTTTCAAAAAATTTGACAGCATGCATCTAGCATGCCGAACAGATTGCACACAGCTAAAATTTTACCCAATAAACGGATTGCTTGATGGCAAAACAGAAGGTTGCCACACATCTATTTTTACATGCGATGCATCCCTCATGCATGCTGAATAATGAACACCATGCATGCTGATTTCTTAACCCAAAACATGTTATTTCTGAGATGAGATTTTAGAAGTTTAAACCTGACAAAAACCCGGTCTTTTCGTCTGCTCAGACCCAAGTAAAGCTCAATTCAAGACCTGGGTTTTGGATGGCCTTGAGTTTAGTAAAAATCAACCATCTTGGGTTTTTTTCTCTTTAAGGCTCGAGGCTTCAGCCGCTGATGATCATAAATTTCGTAAAATATATTTGTACATTTAAATTTCGGGAATTATTTGTGGTGTCAAATTTTATTAAATATATAAAACAATGTATCTACATTAAGTTTGAATTTTCGAAATGTACACAGTTGATCTGACGGCATTCTGTCTGCTACAGAGAGAAAGCTTGCTAAACAGTCTATCATTGGTCGAATCAGAACCAATCCTGACTTGGGTTCTTTCTAAGCCCGAGTTTGGGTTTTACTCGGATTTAAGCTTTCAAAATCTTATCTCTGGTAAAAATTTTGCAAGCAGCCAAGCATTAATTAATTGTTTCCGTTTTTTTGACACAGTGCGTCATTTTAACTACTTTCCCAGTACAGGCTACAGAAAGGATAAAATTCTGAATTATCAAAATACATTGTTTAACTGTGTCATGTAGTTCAACAACTACTCACAATTAAGTTTGACCTCAGTAAATAGTACTTCAGAAAACCTACCAAGTACAGATCCTGAAGCACTTGTAGCTGCTATTACAGCAATTCCTCCAGCTATCACTGCTTTGGGATCAACACCCTACACACAAAGTAATTTCAAGTGACTATACATTTTAAGAGGGATATGTATGGTTCACAACAGTACCCTTATAAGATCTGCATACTGACTGCAGTACTGTACGTACTGCAGCCTGATTCTAGAACAATCCACCTTAGAGTTCTACAACATGATCAATAATGTGGAAGATATGGATGTTTTCCTAAGCCCAATTGAATTTTTAACCATTTGACAAAAAGAACAGGGAAAATTCCATCATCGCATTAAGGTTTATAGGGTTGCACTGCACTGTCTTGAAAAAAAGTCCCGGGAATCTAAAACTCGGAACTTTATTTCCAGTAACATTTTGTCCTAGGACTTTAGAAATTGAGACTTTTTATTACCAAAGTAGTTATTGCCAGGTTTTTTTTCCAGAAAATTTTTTTCCTGTGACTTTCCTGTGACAAAAGGCTCTCAGTATACAGCTTAGACGCGTTCGAAAATCGGGAATATATTAGAAATATTTAAAGTTATATTTACCCTGCAATTGTTGGCGCAGATTGCCGGTTCATTCTTTGTATCATTGCACTGTAAAAAATAAAACATTGAAGTTTCAGTGTAGGATAGGGTGTCCCCAAAAATATGTAAGGGTGCGGCGAAAATTCCCCAACCTTTTGGAATTGTGTACAGTGAATCCTAGATATATGAATACGTAGACCATCATAAGTTTTTTGATAATTCTAAAGAAACTACTTTTTATTTTTAATTCAAGGTAAATTAATAGCCCTGAAATATGAATGCAATTGTTATATTAATATGAAACTCATTTTTCCGCGGCATTTGATCTTAAATATGTAATACGACATAATAAAAAACTCTTGCTATGTATTCATATATTTGGGATTCATTGTTGAAAATGATGAAATCAAGAAAGATTGATTCTATTGTAGAGCTAACTATAATTCTCCCTATATATATACCATTACTTTTGTGAATTCCCTTATGAACGGAGAGACAAAAGCAGAACACCAGAAATTAGAAAAATAAATAATTACCCGCCAAACATTGTAGGAGTATCCTTCAAATTCTTCAAGCTTACACTCAAAATCTGTTGAACCAAATTTTCCAAATTGGCATTGGCGAACTTGTTGACTTTTTACAGATAAACTCTTACAGTCAGTCTTATTTCTATCGTTCTTGCCACCAATCTGAACAAACAAAAAAGGTAAGCTTCTAAATTTTTTTCTTTTTCAAAATTCAGACTCATAAAAAACCTGTTGAAATTAATAAGGAATTGACTCTTCGCCACAAACTCCGATTTTCTAATCCCAATATCTTTGGAACCCAATTTCGTAAACCTTTGATATTTCAAACTTATATTTTTTGATCTAAAAAAGTCATAGTTTGAAATTTCAAAGGTTTACGACGTTGGAATCCAAAGATATAGGGATTAGAAAATCAGAGTTTGTTGCAAAGAGTCAATTCCTTTGTCTAAAAAGATAAACCTTGAAACCAGCAAATGGCCTTTTATAAACTATGCAAAATATATATCTCTTTCAATTTTATCAAACCTGTTATAAACCTTGAAACCAGCCAATGGCCTTATATAAACTATCCAAAATATATATCCCTTTCAATTTTATCAAAAAGTTTAACTTACTGGTATAGAGCAGGATCTAGGCTTCTTCCAACCATATGGGGCCTGAAAAACTCTCTTACTAATTTTATCCCGCTATTTATTATTCTATCTAAGGCTATAATTGGCTGAGAAACTGAGTGAGAGGACTCAAATCTACATATTATATGATCTCAATATAAAGTAGTGTAATGTAGAGGATTAAAGGTGTAATGATTTTTCAGCTTAGAATTATCAAATTTCAAGTATATTCACCTTATATCCATACTGTTCTGCAACCCAGTCAAGATAACATCTAGCATCTACAGACATAATTCAAACCTTGCTCTTTTCAAGATTTTTCAGACATTTTTTTGTTCAGATACAACCAGACAAACATCTTTCTAATGATTGAAACATGACTGTCATGGCCCGCAAAATGAGGCAGGATCATTGAAAAAAATTCATAAAAATAGATTTAATTTGTTTCCTGTGAAAACTCCCGGATTACTTGACTTCAGATTAAAAAATTCAATGTCTATACCCTGAAAAAAAAATATTGTTTTAAATATTTCCCTTAACTTTAGGATATTAGATATATCATTTAAAATTTTAATTTGAAAATAGGTCCAACTGAGGCCAAATTTAAAGAATTTGAGCGGCGGCTCAAATATGGTTGGTTTCACTTAAAAATGCATTCAATGTTTCAAAATTAAGGCCGGTGCTCAATTGAAACCGGTTTTTGGCGGAATAAGACACAGCTCAAATTCATGAAATTCGGACACTGTACATTTAAGGAATTGAAAATACTAAAAAAACTAGTTTTAAGATTTTAAAAATGCAATAAAACTTTTTACCGGATATCTGGCACTTGCTCTTCGACTCACAGTGGTCTGGTCACATCCTAAGGACAGTTACTTTTTCAAGCAACTGGTTTTTTGAAAGTGAATTAAAACAATACTTCAATTGTACACAACACCCTATTTACAACAGTTACCTTTGTAAAATTGTATTGTATTTATTTTTAAGGTATCATTTATGAGGATGATATAATTGTTTTTCTGGCGTTAAAAGGCATAACATCTCTTACAAACAGAGGTCGAATTTAAAGAATTTGAGCCATGGCTTAAATTTGAAATATGGCTGCTTCCACTTAAAATACTATTCAATGTTTCAAGATTTAAGCCGGTGCTTAATTGAAACCGGGTTTTTGGCGGATTTGAGACGCGGCTCAAATTCATTAAAATTGGACTCTGGACTAACAAAATATGGCTGAAAATTATTTCACACCTATTAGTTGATATATTTAAACTTATATATATATTTGTTATTTTGAACCTACCTTTGGACATAGACAGTGTACCCACCCAAGAAAATCTTTGGTATTCTTCTGTTCCTCTTTTATTCAATCTCCGGACTATCGGAGAACCAGAGTTTCCAAACGTAAGACAACTAAGAAAAGGATAATTTTAGGACCAAACCTATTTATGAATAAGAATTTGTTAATGATACTCATTTTAGGTAATTGACTTTAAAATCTAGAGGGCTGAGTACCTTTCTTCTTTATCATCTTTATAGCATGTGGTTGCATGAGGATAATAGGTATCTGATGCCATCCAACCAGGATCAGAACATGGAACCTGAAAGGTATTAATTATCTTAGAGATTAGGAACACAAAACTGTAAAGCCATCCATACTGTTCAACAATTTCACTGAGGGCCTGCATATTGGTCAACATTTTTTAGATAAATGAAGCATTTTGAAACAACCGTCATTCTTTTCATTTAAATTAGAAGACAGCACTTAGATATTTAAAGTTTTGGATCTCCCTCTCAGTAGTGCAAGCTAAAACAAAATGGATCTTCTGGATGCAGATTCAGATCCTAATCATCAGAAAAGAAAATAATTACCTTTGTCAATAATGTTTCTTTCGTAAGCATATTATCGAATATATATTTTGCCAGATTTGTTAGAGCAGTTTTGAACGTAGGCTCTGGGTCAACCCATGCAGCAAAAATCCCCTAAAGAAATAAATAAAAATATATTTAATAGATACAAAATGGAGACTGAGAAACTTAGAAAAAAGCAAGGAAATAAATACAGGAACGCCCAACTCAGATACACAAACATTGTGCACTGTACTCTGTGGGAGGAATGTAAACAAACCAAGTGCCCCCACAGAAGTTGAAGGGAAAGAATTAAAGCTCTGATGTGATTTTACAGTCCAACAAAAAACAAGTTATTATATCAATTTAGAGCAAATACTTATGATTTTTTGGCTTTCTGGTCAATATGGAAAATACAATAGAAATATATTCTTATTCCACCCCTTAGGCCCTTTTCCCTCAAAAATGATGCTTTGCCCCTGAATTCTATGTTTTAATCTCCTCACACTGCAGTACACAGATCTGACGCATCAGATATGGCGGTTCCTGGTTTTTATATTTCTTGGAAAAAAGAAAATTTTTAATTTTTGGTTTAGGATTATTGAAACAAAATTTAACATACAAGAATAGAAGTACTTACATTTTCATTATAATATTCATTATCGTCAAGTACGGGTAAGCATGCGGGCACAATGTTTCTGGTTTTTGGATCCAACTGAGGTACTAAAGCCTACAGATTAAATGTTTAAAAGGACTGTAAGCCTAATGTTAAGTGAACCTCATTGAAAAAATGGCCCACGCACCTCTGACCCTTTAGTAAAAGTAAATTCTAGTTAATACATTTTTTAACATTAAAGAACAACTCTGAACTCTGTTTGATTAGGGCATTAATTCTAGGGTGGAGTAAAGTTAATACATTTTTTAACTGAACTCTGTTTTTCGGAATAACTTGAACAATTGACTATCAATTCATGAATAAAGGGAATAAACTGAATACTTTAGAGTTTACTTTAATTTCAGAGAGCAAAATTTTCAGATTTAACCCTATTCCTGCTGGGAGGATGGGTTCAATTTGACCCCACCTGTAGTTTTTTTTAAATAACTCAAAAAGTATTGGTCTTTCGGAAAAGCTAGAGAATTCTTGTACTCATGAGTCATGCATAAATTACAACATTTTGTGGCATAAAACCATTCACCTGTGGGTTTGATACATGATATACAGAAATATCAAATCCTTCAATGGGACCCTTACTTTCATCATAGCGGGGATGGTTGGTTATCTAGGAAAAGAATATTTTTTAATTTAGATTTAAATTCAAATCAATCTTACATCAGTTCTGAAGTTTTCTTATATACAATTCTTTTAAAATTTTCAGATTTAGCTTTTTGTCACTCTGATTTTCTAATCCCTTTATCTTTGGAGTCCCATGTTGTAGACCTTTGACATTTCAAACTATGACTTCTGTTAGATCAAATAATATAAGTTTGAAATGTCAAAGGTTTATGACATTGTGTTCCAAAGATATAGTGATTAGAAAATCATAATTTGCGGCAAGGACTCAATTCCTTTATGATTGTTATCAGTTTGTGAAGCGTTATTTGAGAACAATATCAATATATTTTGAAAAACTTGAAAAATCGTTCTACCTAATTTATTCAGTTTCAAATTTTTCTTTAACAAATAATGCTTCTAATTTTCTCCTTTCTAATTTGTTGCTGGTCCAAAAAGGATTTGACATCTTCAATGAAACAGTTTCTGCCTTAGCTTTAGAGAGAAAAAAAGTATTTATTGTCTCCACAAATATTCCTCTAAAGTGGGGTTTTTTAAATCCCCGTCATTTGTAAATCTACCTTCTCAATTTTAAGAACAACCTCTTCCTCCTGGCTGAACTCTTCTGGAGTTAGTTCAAGGGAGAATTCTCCGCAAACTATAAAAATTCATGGATATCAACACTGCCAAAAGTGTAGTTCAAATTGTCAATTTTTTCTCCCTTTGGAATAAGATATTCTCTGTAGCCCATGAAGGTTGAATGTACACACAGCTATAGTGCTAGGTGCGTTCCTACTTAAAAAACAATAAATTTGTTTTGTTCCATTTTGTTTATTCCCGTGAAAGAAGTATCGTGCCCAGGAACAACGCCCAGCTATAAGGGCTGGGCGAGTTTCTACTTTTTTGGTACCATCCTGTTCCATACCATTGTGTTCCGTACCATTGTGTTCCATACCATTGTGTTCCTTACCATTGTGTTCCGTACCATTGTGTTCCGTACCATTCTGTTCCGTACCACTCTGTTCCTTACCATTCTGTTCCCTACCATTCTGTTCCATACCATTACTAATAGCTACATTACTAATAGCTACATTATTAAGATTGCTAAATTTTAATGTTCCTTACCAATTTGCAGATCTTCTTTTAGAGCCGGGCGCAGCTCTGCATTTTCTCCTTTGTTTGGTCCACAGTAAGAGCTTGTCTATAACAATTAATATTTGAACAAACAATTTTTGTGATAATGAATAATATCATGCATACAATACTCATAATCTCGGTGAAGTGTCGAGTATTGATCTTGACATTCACAATGCAAGAGCTCCTAGATTTGAACTGTAAATAATACTGAATACCTTTTGGGATTTGAGTTTACTTTGCTAACCCATTTACAGTTTTATTTCGTAGAACATTTTTAAACTAAGCTTTAGTTTAAAAGATGTGATTAACACAGTGCATATGTTTTTTGTATGAGCTAGGTTTTCATAGTAAATTTGAAATATTTATTGTTGAAAAAGATTTACGTCTCTACAAGTTCCAGGTTCACCCAATTTTCTGCAGCAGCACATCTCCAGAGGTGGGCTGGTAGGGGATAGCTTGCAGATCTGGTTACAGTGAGCAGCCGACACTAATATGGTCTCCTCCGGGTATACTTAACAAATATTTATAAAAATTAGTTACAAGAGTATGGCTTGAAGTTGAGGATTAATTTACAATTTACATGTCGGCTCATGTCGGCTCAGGATCAGCCAGTCTGAAGGGTTTATTATTTATTATTGTTTGTTTAATGTTGTTTGTTCCAAAGTACCCTTTTACTGGTTTCTCATCAAGGATTGCAACCATATTCTTATTTTTGAGCTAAAACTTAAGCTGCAGAAACTATGTCAAGTCATTGATCGAGTGGAGGAGTAGAATTCTTATCAGATTAAATATGTATAGAGTCTTCATCTGCTTGTACACCCATACTCTATTTATATGTAATCTGACGATTCAACACTTATTCTACTCAGCAAAGAAGGTCTTACATTTTTATTTATTAAAGAGCATGAACAATTCACAATTCACAAGTAGAAAACAGCGCCTCGATCTTGGAACTCAATTATCAGTTAAAAAAATAAGGATAAGGATATCTAGATCATCTGTTATCAGAGCTGTAAACTTTAGAATGAGATATCCTTAATCCCGATTCTTAATCTGATTATCCAATGGACACACTTTTGATTTTCTTCTTAAACCATTCTTTCTTGGATATAGTAGAGAAAAATTAGAAACCGGTTTTTCTAAATTAGAGAGTTCCTCCTAATCTGGAATGGCGCGCAAAATTTCAAATTTATCGGCTTCATATATGTGACTCTGATTGGTTGAATTTTATACACTTTTCAGGATACAAGTACAAGATTAGGTTAGTCTTGATATTATGAAAAAGAGAGGATCATGCATTAATCTAGATATCCACCATTCTAAAGTTTTCAGCTCAGATGAATGTTTTAAAAGGGTACTTTGCGAATCATACATGCAACTTTGTAAATGAAATGTAATCTACACTTTTTTCCTTTTTTCAACCATTATTTTTTTCCAAAACAGCTTTATTTCAATTACATAACAATTAAAAATTGGCTGTTCGCTTAAAATTCGGGAAAATACGGTTCGGGTCTAAGCTGTTCTTGGGCCTTATTTACGGCTTGAGCTTTTGGATTCAAGCTGCATCTTATTTTCCACAGAGATGAGTTCAAAAAACGGTTTAATATTCTATTTTGCTGATTAGTAAGTGTCGCATTCCGGGTTTTTATGAGAACAATACTCAACATTGAGCCTTATTCTCGGGTCTAAGCTGTCATTGGGCCTTATTTACGGCTGGTTCTTAGGATTCAAGCTGCATCTTATTTCCACAGAGATGAGTTCAAAAAACGGTTTAATATTCTATTTTGCGGATTAGTAAGTGGCCCATTCCGGGTTTTTATGAGAACAATACTCAACATTGAGCCTTATTCTCCGATAAAACCAACCAAAGATCTTGTAGCTGTCAATCACATGACACAAGCTGTCGTCAGAGTTGGGTCGAAGATTGGGTCCTAAAGTCGGGTTTAAGGAATTACGACTGGAGTCGAAGTTTTTAAATCGCAAGCTCTGAAGAATCAAAGTTATTTTTATCATTTAAAATAAATATAAAGCAATCATTTGTTTAAAACTATTCTTTATATGTGTTAACGATTTGATAAACCGTTAACGATTTTTTTGATAATATTGTTAATTGAAAATTACTTCTGCTAACGTTGCTAATAAAAATGAGACCGTTAACTAACGGTTACTTAAAACCCTGAAAATACCATTAACAAAAATAACGTTCCGTTCTTATCTTTAAAACCAACGTCTACCTGAAATTTTCTTTTTTAATGGTTGGAACTAACCATTAACGAAACGGGAAGAAAAAGTTGGAACGTGTCCAGCCCTACCATATGAGCCTTTAATAATTCAAATTATTGTGTCTTATAAGAAATACATTTCAATATCATCATAAAGGTCATTAAACAATTTTTTGTTCATTCTCAAAAGTTTTGTTTGTTCACAAAATCTCTTGTGACACCCACTGTTATTTATACTTACAAAGATTTTTACAGAATGTTGATTTGGTGAACAATTGTTCTGTAACACTTGCTACATCTGGAGAAATGCCTAAAATTTAAAAGAGATAATCTTCAATCTGTATTTAAATTTTGCAAATAGCTTTATCCTCCCCCTGCCCCTCCCACACAAACACAACACCCTATATTAATAACGGGGCGGTACCATTTGGCGCTTTAATTGTGTAGCAATAATATTCATATGATATACCTCTGAGTGTTGTGTCTCCAAAAATTTCAGCAAAGCAATATGACATTACAACTTCCTCTTCCGTTGTTGGTGTAAAAAACTGCAAATAATACTTAAGTTAACTTTTCATGTTAAAGGAAAATGCTAGGTTTAATAGGACAGATTTTAAGAAAAAAAATCATAAAAGCTGAAAAGTGTTAAAAAAAATATTCGGATAAATGTAACAGTATTTTTGAGAGCAAACTAAATTTTTCAGAGCAAACTAAATTTTTGAGAGCAAACGCAATTTTTGAGAGCAAACAATATGTTCGTGATTAAAATAACGAAAGATGAATGAACGACTTAGATTGTTCAGAGAAATGAAAAAGACATCAGAATTTAATAAAACGATTGTTTTTTTTTTCCCTGAAAAAATGAACAAACAATAGAAATAAGCAATCTTTTACTTACTGATAGAACAATTTTGATAATCAAACTATTTTACTAAATAAACGAACAAAATATATGGTAAATATATGGTAAATATATGGTAAATATATGGTAAATATATGGTAAATATATGGTAAATATATGGTAAATGAATGACAATTTTTGTACAATAAAAAAGAACAAAAGGGTCTCTAATACTCCTCCTCACCATGTCCTGTACACGGCTTGCACTTGTCTGGTTGTTTTCCACAGGAACTGCACCATCAAGGATTAAGCAGTCTAGTTGGCTGAACAGAATATATTCACAGATGTTCTTACAGGTTTAAAATTCTTTTTCAGGTTAATTTGGCTGTCTAAAAGTATTCCAATTCTTAATGTATTAAGAATACAAAAACGTTAAAAACTTAAGGAAAGAAGGATTTTTCTTGTGAAATTATCAGCAAAGCTTTGAAGTGTTGAAGGTTCTGTCCTTGAATTCCAAAAGCAACAGTTTTGATTGCTTTGTTTTAGGACAGGAACCATAATTAAACTAACATTGACCTGAAAAAGGTTGGAAAAAATGTTTACCTGTTGTTTTGCGCATTACAGAAAGTTCTGAAATCATCTGAAAAAAAATTTTGATTTTTCCAGTCAGAATGCAGTTGGGAGAATTGCGCCAATGTTTGCTTACATTTTCGCAATTGGATTGCACAGAATTTCACTTTCACTGAAAACAGGTAAGTGCAAGAAGCCTTTTTCAATGGCAAGAACAGGAATTCCTTTGCAAGTAGATGGATATTACCGCATTTTCTCAAGATTTTTTATCAATGAATCATATGATTGAATGGAAAATGATGAACATTGACGCTTGACATTCANTATTGTGTATATTGTGTAGTTAAACTCGCATATTGTGTATATTGTGTAGTTAAACTCGCATCCCAAGTGATTTGTTTGTTTCAAAAAGGTGAATAGCCCGAGCCGGAAAAATATAGTTTTTGAATTAAACACATGAAACAGCAGTCGTTCAGAAAACAAACAATAGATGAACGATGATATTGGTTTGTTCAGAGATTTTAGCAAAATATTATCATTTTTACTAAACAAACAAATTTTCCTAAAGATTTTGCGAAAAAGGACTTTTTTACTGAACAAACTGTTTTTTTAAACAAAATTTTAAAAGCGATAGGTTTTTTTAATGAACGAACAATTTTTTTCGAACAGACTTTTGAGATAACGATAGTTTTTTACTGAAAGAACAATTTGATTGAACAATCTTTTACTAAAAAAAAGAATGGAAAATAAACAATAATTTTAAGGACAAACAAATTAAATTTCTTTAAAACTTGTAATAAAAACGAAAAGATTCGTTCACAAACGATGAATGAACGAAATGAAAAAAAACCCGAATGCACCCATATTTATAAGCCTAATGAGGTAATCAGATAATTTGACATGAGCTGAGGGTTAATAAAGCCACTTAAAAAAGGGACAGATAGACTGTCAAAGTCCCTTCATTTAATGTTTTACCTGTTTGGCTGAATGAGAACGCGGACCCTGGTTTGATTTCCAAAAGCAACCGTGTCGAATGAATAGTCGTATCTGAGGCTGGTGTCTCTAAAGAAGCACTTATCTGTACAGAAATTGTCCTCCAGAGTACGAACTATATCAAGGGCATCAGCGTTACTGAAATAATTACATTTTTGTAAAATGGTAATTTTTGATCAAATAACCATCCTTCATCATTGTTAAAGATGGAATAATAATTAACCGGCTTAATCATCCTTTACAACATAACCATTCTTAAAGATGGAATAATAATTAATCGGCTAAATCATCATTAACAACATAACCATTGTTAACTATGAAATAATAATCAACCGGCTAAATCATCATTAACAACATAACCCTTGTTAATGATGGAATAATAATTAACCAGCTGAACCATCATTAACAACATAACCATTGTTAATGATGGAATAATAATTAACCCACTGAAACATCATTAACAACATAACCATTGTTAATGATGGAATAATAATTAACTGGCTGAATCATCATTAACAACATAACCATTGTTCAAGATGGAATAATAATTAACTGGCTGAACCACCATTAACAACATAACCATTGTTAATGATGGAATAACAATTAACCCGCTGAACCATCATTAACAACATAATCATTGTTAAAGATGGAATGATAATTAACCAGCTGAATCATCATTAACAACGTAATTATTTTTTAAGACTGACCTTTAATTAGATCTATAATTGTAAACAATGGTGCAATCATGATATTACAAAAGTCTGCAATAATAATTTTCATTATTTAATCATGTTTTGTGGAAATTAGAATGAATAAAAGTAAGAAAAGGTTTAAGAACATAATGGAATTTCTGTGACATGCAAACTACTTAATAGTACGCCATCCTTTTTTCCTGTTTCCCTCTCCTCCTATCTTTATTTTCTTTACTTTTATTTTTAATTTTTTAATGTATTGTATTAATGTTTATGAGATTTTTAAAATGTTTATTATTAGTCAAAATAAAAAGTTAAAAATGCGTACTTGGTCTCAAATTCCTCAATCTTTGGGTTTCGTCTTCCACAGTCTTTATACTCAGGAATAGGTTTTCTTGTCAAGAGGTGGACTAGTCTACTCAGATTATCCTAGGTGGAGTACTTTTAGTTTAGTTAGTCATTCATAGTTGGAGTACTTTTAGTTTAGTGAGTCTTAACTAGATGAAGTACTTTTAGTTTGGTTAGTCTTTACTATGTGGAATACTTGAAGTTAAGTTAGTCTAAACTTGTTGGAGTACTTTCAGTTTATCTAGTCTTTACCAGTAGTTAGTCTATCCTAGATTGAGTACTTTTAGTTCATTTAGTTTTTCCTAAGTGGAGTACTTTTAATTTTGTTAGTTTATACTAGGTGGAGTACTTTTAGTTTAGTTAATCTATCCTAGTTGGAGTATTTTTAGTTTAGTTGATCTATCTCAGATGGAGTACTTACAGTGTAGTTAGTCTTTTAGAGTAGTAAGTCTATTCTATGTGGAGTAATTTTAGTTTAGTTGATCTATCAAGGTTGGAGTACTTATAGTTTAGTTAGTCTTTACTAGCAGGAATACTCTGAGCTTAGTTAGTCTATTATAGATGGAGTACTTTTAGTTAAGATAGTCTTTCCAACGTGGAATAATTTAAGATTAGTTAGTTTATCCTAGGTGGAGTACTTTTAGTTTAGTTACTTTTAGTTTAAATACACATACCACGGCTATGTAGGTCAAAAAGGCAAATATTCCCACAGCTGCTGGGGCACTAAACCATTTAAATAGAAAGTTTTACATGTGAAAATGAATACAGTGAAAACCGCAAAACTGTGGAATAGGAAGACGACTTTATAGCAATTCTTAAGTGTATTTGATGTTTTTACATAGTTAATAGTTTTAGTCGTTTAACTTATTACACACAAATCAAGTGAAATGGGTCTATTTACACGGTATAATTGCTATGTCTCATGTTTATTGGACTGTTTAAAGTCATAAATTGATTCTGAAAGTCGTCTTCCTTTTTAAGAGTTTTCTGGGGCTCAGGGTATTATTTTTTTAGTGTCACTGTCCCGTCACAACTATTCCATTTAGCATTATTCATAAAAAAACTTTCAAAAAAACTTGAAAATTGCAAAAAAAATCTTTTCTTTTACAAAATTAGCCGAACATAATGCACGATGCAGGAACAATAAGACAATTGTTTATAACATTTTGTTAAATTTAAAATTCAAAAAATAAATATGTTAAAAAAATACTTTTCATCCATTGGAAATCCTTCCTCTTCCTCTTCTACGTAATCATACTCTTCCCCGTAATCAAATTCTTGGCTAAAAACATATTAATTAAATGAAATGTTCAACAAAATTCTAGGAGATCCTTCACCTAAAAAAAGTTCAAAACGGTAAGGTGTGTGTAACTGTGTATGGGCTGGTCTCCCTAAAAGGATGAGACTCCAATGAAGACCTAACGCTCTACATTTTTTTATATTGACAATGAGTTGACAAAGAAAGAAAAAAAGTTCACGGACAGTTAAATGGAAGTAAGAATATAAGAAACGTCACAGATAGAAGATTGAGAGCATCTCAAAAACTCTGATACGTCACAGATAGAAGAATGAGAGCATCTCAAAAACTCTGATATGTTACAGATAGAAGATTGAGAGCATCTCAAAAACTCTGATATGTCACAGATAGCAGATTGAGAGCATCTCAAAAACTCTGATACGTCACAGATAGAAGGTTGAGAGCATCTAAAAAACTCTGATATGTCACAGATAGGAGATTGAGAGCAGCTCAAAAACTCAGATATGTCACAGATAGAAAGTTTAAAGTATCTCAAAAACTCTGATACGTCAAAGATAGAAGATTGAGAGCATCTAAAAAAACTCTGATATGTCACAGATAGGAGATTGAGAGCAGCTCAAAAACTCAGATATGTCACAGATAGAAAGTTGAGAGCATCTCAAAAACTCTGATACGTCACAGATAGAAGATTGATAGCATCTCAAACTCTGATACATCACAGACAGAAGATTGAGATCATCTCAAAAACTCTGATACGTCACAATTAGAAGAATGAGAGCATCTCAAAAACTCTGATAGAAGATTGAGAGCAGCTCAAAAACTCTGATAGAAGAATGAGAGCATCTCAAAAACTCTGATATGTTACAGATAGAAGATTGAGAGCAGCTCAAAGGGCTCAGTTACATTTGTACATGATACTTTTACCATAAATACATTTGCAATAATTACACTTGCCACAATATGTTTGCCTTAAGTAACCCTTGCCATAAGTTACACATATCATAAGTTACAATTGCCCATGGTTGCACTTGCCATAATTACAATTACTAATAGTTATAATCTACACCCATTCATTTTTTTATTGAACAACTACAATTATAACTTTTATGACTAGAATTAACAAATCTCTATGAGGGACAGCTAATGAGCTGTAAATCTTCCAGTATTATTAGTGTTCATATCTCTCCTTTCAGCAATGTTGGAAAAATAAAGTTGGGAATTTTCATGAGAAAATTTAGCGCATTTATAGAAAAAATAATTAGACTTACATCATTGTAAATTATGAAAAATGTAGAAAAATTATGGTAAATTAATTATGTCAAGTGCAATTTATGGCAAGTGTTACTTATGGCAAATATATTTATGGGAAATGTATATATGATGCATCCTATATATTGAAAAAATTCCTCTTTACCTCTTGATAGCCTCTAGACAAAGTGCCACACCAAAACAAACAAGTAAATTCATTCTAAAATATGTTTAAATTTGAAAAGAAAATCTAGGAATAATAAAAACAAAATTCCGAAAACTAGAAGTAATCCCAAAAAAAAATTAAAGGGAATGTACGCACAATTTTTTGTGGACAGTTCCATCCAAGAACCAACGCCCGATCAAACTGTTCATTTTCATTTGCGGATATTCTCTTAAAGTGGCTTGCGCATTTCTTGATTTTGAAAAGTATTTTTGATCAGATTAATGTTTCAAGGATACCTATCTAGTATCTTTGATATTAACGGAGAACATTGGAAACATAAAAATTGAGTTGTTGCCACAAACTCTGATTTTCTAATCCCTATAACGTTGCATCACGATGTCGTAGACCTCTGATTTTCTAAACTCTATAACGTTGCATCACGATGTCGTAGACCTCTGATTTTCTAATCCCTATAACCTTGCGTAGACCTCTGATTTTTCAAACTTTTAAAAATAGTCTAAGCCTAAAATTTCAAAGGTTTACACTAGCAGATATCAACGATATAGGAATTGGAAAGTTTGAGTTTGTTGCAAGAACTCAGCTCCTTATTTTAATTAATTGGAATCTTGATAAATGTCCTAATATCTCCGTCAATGCTAGGGGTACAAAAATGGTAGACCTGCACAATTTAAAATTCCAATGAAAAAATATTGAATCGTTTAGAGAAATGATAAAAAACTACTGTTTTTTTTCTTAGAAAACGAACGAAAAAAACGGACAATTTAAAAATATTTGGAGTTGAAAAAACTCGCTTTTTTAATGAATGGGCGAATTTTCTGAAAGATTTTGATAAAATGATCGTTTTTTATTAAACGAATTATTTTTTGGAACAAACGATCTTTAAACACAATAATTTATACTGAAGGAACCAATTTTTCAAACATACTTTTGAAAAACGATCGATTTTCTTACTGAAACAAACGATTTTACTGAACGAGCGATTTTCCTAAACAAACTATTTTACAAAACGATTTTTCAGTGAGAAAACGAACAAAATAGAAGAAAAATAAATGAAAATTTTGAGAACGAACAAAATAAATTGTTTTAATGAAAAAAGCAAAACACGCCCATCACTACTCTTTAAACGTGGATTGGAGAAAGCTAGGTAGTAAAAACAAGAAATATGGGCCAGGAGTGGATATGGTGGAGAGGAGGAGGGGAAGAGAAAGTAAACTAGTTTGTGGTCTCGTCTTCGTCCATTACATAGATCCAGACTTCTAACATAAAGCTGAAAAAGTTTTTGATTTCACCTCACCTCACCTCACCAGCTCATTTATAATTTTTTATTGTCCTTTTATAAACCTAAAGCATTTGTTTTTAATTTCTGTTTTTAAGAAGTAATTGGGAAAATTCTCAACAGTTTTAGTGTGAGAGTTCACAACGGATCACTGAGCCAAAGAAATGTCCGAATCACCCCAAACCTATCAATAATATATTTAAATTGGAGCCTTACAATTATTCCTAGTGTTTTTTATGACCTTTAGATTTTGTGTGCACTGACTGTTTGACCATTTTATGGAAGGAATAAACTGACTTTTTGAAAATAAAGGGACTAGACAGAGTAATTTGAAGAAACCTTTCATTGATTTACAACAGTACCCTCTGACTGATCAAGGATGACAAGCTGTGCAAAGAAATTTAACGAAAATTTTTGCAAAGGGCGCCTTAAATTTTGCAAATTTTTCTTCAGATTGTTGAACATTTATGAAAGAGAAGGGGGGGGGGTTGCATGCACCTTTCCCACCCCCCTCTTCGCTAGGGTATTTTTAGAGGACAGATTCTTTTCATGTCACCTTTACAAAAAAAACCACAATCAAGAAAAATCTATTTTTGAGTGAGAAAATTAAGGATATTACATTTTTCGTCAGACAATGGTTCATCTATGTAGTGTTTTGTAGGATAATTTGAAATTACGATTACAATCTCTTTAAAAATGCTTATTTGCAAATTGGTAAAACTCTCTTGTATTTAAACTTTCCAACTCGCTGTATATCTCACAAATAGACACAACATATCACTGGGATCTGGACAACTCTGAGAGATATCACATTTTTAGACACTCTCGACTTTAAGGTGTCGCAACATCTTGGCCTTTGGTTGTACCTCACAAACACTTTTACACATTTTTGTACCCCAATGTCCGAATTTCATGCATTTGAGCCGCGTCTCAAATTCAAAAAAAACGGGTTCAATTGAGCGCCGGCTTGAATCTTGAAACATTGAATACAATTTTAAGTGGAAACAACCATATTTGAGCCGCGGCTTAAATTTAAGCTGCGGCTCAAATTCTTTAAATTCGGTCTCTAGTTATATATATATGTCAAAATTGCAAAGTGCTTGTTTCTAGCTTAAGTTAAAAAGGAGTAATTATCAAATCTGCTTGATTTTGGCTTGAGAGCTTGCACATATATAGTGCACAATGCACATTTTGGTTTGCAGTTAACATTTGCTAAATAAGGATGCAGGTTCCTATCCGTTAGACTCTAGGGGAACAACTGGAACTGAAGCGTACTGTACACCGGTATACTCAAGACTATAAAGTGAATCCCTGTCACATAAAACTAGGGATGTGGATTGAACTATTCTAACCTGCCTCATTGAAAGTCAAAAGTTTTTGTTGATGTCCAATCCTTCTTAGTCGTTACGTTCTAGAGTAGAGGATAGTGTTCGTAGAAGGCATTCAGAAATAACGGACATTTTGCTCGAAATTTTCGTTGTCGTTGTATGACGGATTGGAGAAGGAATGTTGTTGTATGAGGGATTGGAGAAGGAATGTTCTTTTATGAGGGATTGGAGGAGGAATGTTGTTTTATGAGGGATTGGAGGAGGAATGTTGTTGTATGAGGGATTGGAGAAGGAATGTTGTTTTATGAGGGATTGGAGGAGGAATGTTGTTTTATGAGGGATTGGAGGAGGAATGTTGTT